TTTTTTTTTTTTTTTTTTTTTTTAACTGTCCCTCCAGTGCTGGCGATGCTGATAAGAGCAGTCACCGCTAGCTGGCTTGAGAAGAGATTGTGTGGGATGTTTGCAGGTCTGGGTTGAGAGGTTGGGCGTATATTGTGTTTAGGAGAGAAGGAGAGAAATGTGTCGTGTCTGGAGGGAGGGGTATGGTTTGGAACCAGAGTGGTTTGTTGGAGGGTAATGGGGTTAGGCGCGTGCGGTAGGGATATGAAGGGTTTGAGGGGTTTGTGGTGGGATCAGATTTGTGTGCTTCCTTACTTATGTGGGAGAAGAGGTCTGTGGGGGATTTTTTTTCGGCTTGGCATACAGACCATTAGCAAAGGCCCATATTATGCTGTCGTCACGGACTGTGTTGTTGGGGGTGGTTGCTTGGTCTAGTTGGGCGGTATGTATATCGATTCCTCAAATTTGAAGATTAGACTCCTCTGACCCTTGACTATTGCTATCTTACCCTTGGCCAGGTAGTTCTCCTCAAATTTGAAGATTAGACTCCTCTGACCCTTGACTATTGCTATCTTACCCTTGGCCAGGTAGTTCTTCTCAAATTTGAAGATTAGACCCTTGGCCAGGTAGTTCTCCTCAAATTTAGATTGAAGTTCTTTGGCGTTGGGCTTGTCTGCATCCATCTTCCTCTTGACTTTGCGCCATAGGACCCAGTATTCCGTTTCTATCTGTTGCCGTTGGATACTCGATGCTTCCCGCACGTGCATTGGTTGTTTGTCTATCATTTCCTGACATCTTTTTCTCCAGATAGATGGACCATAATACTGCCTTGAGCGTTGGAATAGGTTGATTTGTAGGAAGGGGGAGGGGGGGAGGGGGGCATTTGTCGGGGGTTGTGAAGGCCAGTACAATAAGGGTAGGATAGATTGTGAAATTAATGTCGGTTATTGAGGGTCATATCTGTGAGATCTTGTTCCATATGGGTTTCATCTCGGGCCATTGGAGGAAGCAGTGGAAGAGAGGTCCTCTATCTGTCGTTGTTCGCAATTGGTACATAGTTCATTTTTGTCCTTCCAGGCTTCCACGCAATTGGTACATAAATAGTTCGTTTAAGGGATTTCAATCTTCTTTTGTTCTTCTAATGTTCAGCCATTGATTGAGAGGAATTGCTAAGTAAAGGATTAACCGTTGTAGGCTTTTGAACTTTGCTTGGGGGGCTGTAGAGTTGCTATTTGATTCCACGGTATTTCTTTTAAGTTATCCTGGGTCTACCTTTGTGTCTATTCCAGCGATCTGCTATGACTGTCTCTGGGGCTGTTATCTTCGTCTATGCTTATAACCTAAGGCTGGTGGTGTAGTTGATCAGGTTAATTCTTTTACGACGTATTCTATTTGCCACACATTCTACAAATCACACGCCAATGACCTCGCAGGAACAAGTCCTATACTGATATCGGGTTGCAGAACCTAGGTGGTCCCCACCACCTCCTCAGACTATGCAGCACGGCTGAAGATCAATGTGGGGGTGTCATACCCTTCAGAGTTGTACTTTGTTACCCCTTTAAGTTATGTTTTAATACCCCTCTAGTAAGTTGTCAACAATGTAAAATAATAATAATAATAATAATAATAATAATAATAATAATAATAATAGTATATTATAATACCCCTCTAGTAAGTTGTCAACAATGTAAAAAAAAAAAAAAAAAAAAAAAGGTTGCCAACAATGTGAAGCATATATGATGTCTCAAGACGCTTACATATTCGTAGCAAGTGCTCTCTCAGGGGGTAGACCCTGGGGCCGAGGTCCCATTAGCAAAGAGGATCAGATTAAGCTGCTGAATGTGGATGTGTTTTATGCAGAGATGCAGAAAAGCAGTTCAATGTTGATTTCCTGCACCTCTCCACAAACACGTCCAGATTCAGGCATTCAATGCAATCACTCTTTGCTAGTGGGGCCTCGCCCCTGATATCGAAGCTCCAATGAGTCTGATGATGTCAGAAAGTCAAAATCCATTTGTTTGTTTAATCTAGAAGGGCGGCAGGTGTCTTTTTTTTGTTTTTTTTTGTTTTTTTAAGCCCAGGGTGTTGTCGAGGCCAAGGACCAGACCCGCGGTGTTGTCGAGGCCAAGGACCAGACCCGCGGTGATTGCTGGTAGCGGCAGCCAATGGTTGTCCCGACAGGATAGGCCACCTACCCTACCCATCCCCACGTTAATACTCCCAGCGCAACCCCTGTCCCTACTATCCTACCTCAGTGTGACCAGCACTCAGGACCATCACCCTACAGTATTGAGGGCAACTTCGACCAGACAGTAGTGACAAGCACCAGGGCTGGGCCAACCTCCCAGCCCTAATGGAAGCGGAAGCGGATAAACCTTGCGGTACGGGAACTTCGAACGCCGGGTTCATGCAGCCCAATTCAGAGAGTCTACCCAGAAGGATTACCTAAGCAAGGCAGGCCAGCGCCCACAGACACATCCTACCATCCTTCCCCTACCTTACCCAAGGCTAGGCGGAACTCAGACTAGCCGGAGCGACTTATATCCCTACCCTATCCTAGAGCTAAGCCATGCATGCGTAGACCCCGTCATATACCTGGTAGACCCCCCCAGCCCAGTATCATAATTGTGTGTAAATGTGTGTGGTCAGAGGCTATGTATGTTTGTATGAGCCCATAGGGCCATGTTTTTTGTGTCTGCCCAAAGGCTATGTGTGCTCTGTATAACTGTATAGCGAGATATGTGTGCCCGAAGGCCAGATATGTGCAGTACTATGTCGAGGGAACTATGTGTTCGTTTGAAGAGATGACAGGCCAAGCTGGACAAGACCCCCCCCCAAAGTCCCAAGCCAGACTCGAACCAGTGATCTATGACATGTGACCTGAAGACTCTACCATTTGAGCGACAATCGCAAACGGCCCGTGTGTGATATGCCAGACTGGGGAGATCAACAGAACAACCACGAGCAACAGCCACAAGCAACCCATGCAGTATGAAGACCCAACATACAACACCATGGACAACCCCTTGGGTGGTGCGCAGGCAGTGTCTGTGTAAGCTTACCGTGCGTCAGCCCAAGGGGAAGTGTGTCCAGCCGTGTGTCATTCTAACGCCCTGCCGGTGTCCATGTGCAAGGCTGCAATTGAGTTTTGAACCCGCAACCTCATACCACAATGCGCATTTCCAACCGGTGCTCTAACCACTGAGCTACATCAACTGGACTCAGAATTATTTTATTCAGTTCACCTGATTGCATCTGGATTCGGACTCGGGTCTGTATTCGAGCAGTTCATGGATGTACGGAGGGAACTACGGCCATTGGTTAGAGACCATGAGTATCTTTCCCAGCTATTTTTTCAGAGTTGTGGCACGTATACAGCCACACCTCTCGGGAAGTGCCTCAACCTACGCCGTCGATACGTGAGGATATGGTCACCATTGGCCGCACCGGGTCGAAAACCTAACGAGCTAGGCTTAAATCGTGCCTAGTGGGTCCTAGCTCCTCCGCACGGGCGACACGCAAAAATCGAGAAATGGTAAAAAAAAAAAAAAAAAAAAAAAGGGGACGGCCTAGCGCAGTGGGGACACCCAATGAACTGTTGAAGTGCAGACCAAAGGAACTGAAAAAAAAAGGGGACTAGTCCGACTTGGGGATTAAAATTATTATATGATTTTAAATTCAATTATTGCCAATTTAATATTTATTAATTTAATGGGAATGGGATAAATTGGGGTGATTCGACTGTGATTGGATGTCTGACAGGGAGTCCCCTTGTTTTTTTTTCCCATTTTTTATTAAAAAAAAGAAAATTGCATTCCAAAGATCATTTGAGGCCGGGACCTCACAATTCAGCCCGGGGTTATTAATCTTTGCCAACACTCCTTTTCTGCGTCACACCCCTTTTTTTTTTAATCTTTGCCTATGCTCCTTGATGGGCTGGAGCCGCTGGACGAAGTCCCTCTAGCAAAGAAGATTGGATTACGCAACTGAATCTGGATATGTTTTATACAGAGATGCAGAAAAGCAGATTAATCGCAATTTTCTGCGCCTCTGCACAAACACAAGCAGATTCAGGCATCAAATGCAATCCTCTTTGCTAGTGGGACCTCACCCCTGGAGTGCGAGAGAGAGTGAAGGGAGAAGTGTGGGTGATGGGTGTCAATAGAAGGGGGTGCGAAAGGGGAACGGGTACGATCACTGACATTTTCGAAGTTGGGGTTGGCGGTGTCCACGCTCCCATCCGCATTTTTCAGATAACTGCACCAAATAATGGCCAATCAAATCCAATTCCAAATAAGTTTTAAAAAGTTAAGAAAACCTAGGCTACCAGCCGGGCCGCCCGGGTCACCCTCTTTTCCCGGACGGCCCGGCCGTGCAAGGGCCCCAGGGAAGGTCCTAGCCAAAAAAAAAAGCAAAAAAATCCGAAAAAAACTATGTCATGCAGAAAAATAAACTGAACAACTTTTGCCTCAGGGTCACATCGAAATTCTTTACCAAATTTAAAATAAAAAATAAAGTTAAAAGACAATTTTTTTTTTTTTTGGCCTGGCCGGGCAACTTGCCCCGGGCCACTCTGGTAGCCTAGAAGAAAACGCGATTAGTTGTTAGAAAAGACAAGAGAAGAAGGACAGCCCGGCAAGACTGCCTAAGCATGAGTATGGAGAAGGGAAATACACCGTAATGAGCGCAAGATAATAATTAGTTGTTAGAAGAAATTGGCCGATGATCACTTGCACGACTCTTCTTCTCTGCTTCTTCTGCTTCTTCTGCTTCTTCTGCTTCTGCTTCTGCTTCTTCTTCTTCTTCTTTTTGCCTTGGAAGAGTCTTTGTTTTTGTTTTCTTCTTTTGTGACTTGGAAGAGTCTTCTTGGTTTTTTTTTTTTTTTTTTTTTTTTT